AGTTTGAAATAACATTAACGGTACCAACGTTTCTGCACAAGATGCGTATTCTGGCAATAAATGCCTCTTCAGTGATTCTCAAAGCAAAAATACTTGAAAATTCAAAGCTTATTAATAAAAAGAATAGTTTATTATTAACAAAAAGGACAAAAAGGTATAACCAAAATCGGGCAAGAAATCAGAGCTTTGAATGAGGGAGATATATTCCTTAATACAAATGATCTCCAAAATTTGAACAGCAAATGTTAATAACAAAATCTATATTTTCATGCCAATACCGAAGTACTGGATACTCGGCTGGTGATACCCTCGGGACTAACAGTTAACCAGCAGAGGTACCAGTGGAAGTAATAATATAGTTTCGTAATAAACTTAGTTTCTTAATATTTCTTACTAAATAAACGGGGAGTTTAAAATGGTTGTTATAAATCAAGCCAGTGCCGACGCATTGACTACTAAGCTTTTGATACCCGAGGGGTTATTAGACCACCAGGAAATTGAAAAGTAATTAGCATGTCGAAAATATGGACAATCTCAGATAATACATTTAAGTTTTCAACCATTTCCAGGAAAATATGGTATCGTTTAATTCCTCCAAGAAAATGTCTTCTCTAAAATTACTTTGCAAATTTGAACCAAAGACAATCATCATTCTTGGCGTAACTGGTTAAAACGAAGTAAGGTTATTATTTAGTTCGATTAAAATGCAAACTGCAATTAATTAATATGATAGTAATCGTATGTTGCTGCCAATTGGTGTTTTACTTCACAAATTCAATCTTCAATACCCTGTAAAAGATTAAGGCAGAACAATTCTTCCCTCCATTTATTAGATTGAAATATAAGTACCAGAAAAGTCGTTAATGCGCAGTGTAACTTTCGACACAAATAATGTGAAGTTTTGTTAATTTATCGCGAAAATAAAGGGAAATTAAGTATGGTCAAATTAACTATGCAAACCTTTTTTTAAAACAAACCAAATTTTATCACATTCAGATTCAGAAATTTGGAAAACAAAAGTATAAAATCTTGCTGATTCACACCGTATTGGAAATCGCACTATGACCTTTGTCGTGTGACATGTACATTACGATTTCGACCTTTCTTTGTGTCTTTTCGTGGTTTTTTAAACATCTACATGTATATATCACGCATATATACCTTTTATACTATCAACTTACCAAATATTCTTAATTTCTATAGCAATGTATAAAGGGACAGCAACGCAATTAAAAGCGGGTTCGGGGCTATAATATTATATCATGATTCTCATTTGTTTAAGAAAAATGTATTGCAATACAGTAGAGATAACATAATTATTCTGAATACATTCGCTAGAAATTGTTGAAAAATGATCTGCTTTTCCGCGGAAAAAATGTCACGAAACTTGAGAAAAAACAAAGACCTCCCTCCCCCCTTATATAAAGTCAATATAGTAAATTACTGAAATTGAAAGAGGAAACTGACCAACTTTCAGACTATAAGACTATCATGACTATAAATATTTTTCTGTTACTTACAGAAGTTTGCCCCCCGACTTTTCAATCTATTCCTACTTACTTCACCTTTATCATTATGAAGAGTTGCAACTGGACGACAAAGACAGTTAATTTATCATTTTTAGCTTTTTTAACATTCTAGGAGCATCTGTACATGATACATATATTTCCTTGTTGATCAGATATCCGGATTTTGAATTGACTTTTCATATGTAGATATCATTATGCTGGATAACTGCTAACAATAAATGTTTTAAACCATTGGTTCATAAATCAAAATTCGAAGTACACTGATCGAACGCTAAACGGACACATACCGTTCTATGTCGTGCTATAAAAGCATAAGTATATGTTCAATTTGATTCCGTTAGAATTCTGTATGACCTGTCACCAAAAAAGACCTATCCTTGTTCCTATTCCTATTTGTTTTTGTTGCTTAGTCAATTATATCGATATAACGGAACGCAAACCAACTGTCATGAAGTGAGAGGTTTAGATAGCTATCAAACCAGGTTCAACCCACCATTTTGTTTTCGGAAAATGCCTGTAACAGTTCAAGAATATGACAGTAGTTTTTAGCATGTTCCGTTAATTGATAGCGTTTGATTTTGTCAGTTGGTATAGACTTCTCCTTTTTGGATTTGCTTTGGAGTTCGGTATTTTTGTTAATGTTTTTTTCCTGTCAGGTTTAAAGCGACGAGTGTAAATATTTTAAAAGGGAATGCAACACACCTCCTCTGTCTTGTTTATGTGTTCATTTACCCTAAATATTTTGTGTATCAGTGTGTTAACAAATACTTTTATTGTCGTATTGGTTTCTTTCTTTAGCAATAGATTTGGTTATGACTCTTCGACTAATGAATTTGTATTGCCACGTTCTATATTTGTTCTGTTTAAATTGTGTATATTCTTGAAGAATAATGGACATGCTAATTCTTTCATGTATTTTAATGGGCAAAAATGGAATCACCGCAAGCCATATGTCTGACCAGCACTGACGTTACTACTAGACAATATCTGAAAAATAACTTTGACTATTGTAAAAACTTATAGTGTTTAGGCTCAAACTTTCCAGGTAATGCTAAGATCAAACGTTCTTTTTAAGACTAACATTTATTTAGTTCTGCTTTGATTTTTAATGAAGATGCACCGAATGTTACTGTCATCTTGAGAGAAAATAGCATTGACTGTTTAGCTGCTGATGGTTTCCCTGATAAGTACACATTTCACATCTGGGAGCATCAATCAGAAGAGGGTGACCATGTTCGTTTTATTGACGGATTTCAAAATGGAACATTGATTCTGCAAACCATTCCATATCAATATCAGATAAATGGACGCTATGTCTGCGCTGTAAGCAATACTATACTTGATGTGAATGGTAGCATGTTGCAAAAAAGTTCTGAATATTTCATTTACCAAGGTAAGACGACTACAAAATAAAAGTAAAAAGATTTTTTATTATGGATTATAAGAAAATTATATATATTAACCAATGTATGACGTGGTCTGAAGAATTTAATACTTCAACAAATCATTTGCATGTTACCATCAGCAATGAGCAATTCAGGTTCCATAGAGTAATGTCACCGACGAACAATTGAATTAAAGGTACCTGATATTGACCAGCAAAAAAAAAAAAAAAATTGTAAAAAATAAGATCGAAAGGTCCTCAATTTTTATATCGCCATGAATCACATCAAGATAACGGCAATGCAATAAAAAAATTATAAAGGTGATTAATTGAGGCGTAATTTTTTCTTGTACTTTTTTATTATAATAATGTTTCATGTCGGAATTTGTTTGAAACATTCCAGCAATTTCTCCTCCTTTTTTTTTTAACTTTGTATGAAACGAAGATGCAATTTCCAAGGCAGGTCTTAAGGTAGACAAAAGGATAACAATAATAAAAATTGTGCTTACCGTATTTTTGTTCTATCTACAAAAAGATAAAATTTACCGTTCATTCCTTTACTTAAAAGAAAATAATTAATTTTCACACCTTACTTCGCAGAGTCAAACCAGATAAGACAATGTTGAATGAAACCAAAAATATTCTGTATTTGTTTGAATATTGATCGAAATAAGATAAATCACATAATGCTCAAGAAATGATGAAAGTGTTACAAATGACATGCATTCCTTTCTAATGTTTTGTATATTTGATGGGTGTTATCTGTTAGTAATAATACAATATGGCGGTATATGTCATATCTTCGATCTACCTTATTAACACAATTATCCACATTATCAATTATCAACAGTTGTAAGAATGATATTTTCATTAAATATATTCAGGTGCTTCATAGCATAATTTGCCACTATGACTCATGGTAATGACGCGTATTTCATGTTGCAATATTGATGTACATTTGAAATATGAATGTTTTGGTAGATAAAATTGAGAATGGAAATGGGGAATGTGTCAAAGAGACAACAACCCGACCGAAGAGTAAAGAAAGAGTCGAAATCCACCAATGGGTCTTCAACACAGCACAAAAACCCCGCCCCCGGAGGCGGACTTCAGCTGGCCCCTAAACAAAAATGTGTACTAGTTCAGGGAAAATGGACGTCATACTAAACTCAAAAACATATAAATGAACTAAAATTGAAAAAAAAACATACAAGACTAACAAAGGCTCTTGACTTGGGACAGGCGCAAAAATGCGGCGGGTTAAACATGTTTTGTGAGATCTCAACCCTCCCCAATGTAGAAAAATCAAACACACAGCAATACGCACAGTAAAAATCAGTTTTAAAGAAGTCCGAGTCCGATGTCAGAATAGGTAACAGAATAAACTAAGCAAAATGACAAAGGACTACTAGCAGTTACTGACATGCCAGCTCCAGACCTCAATAAAACTGATTGAAAGATTATGTCTTCGTCATATGAAATCAAGCACAATCCATCCCGTTGGGGGTTTTGTATCATACCATCATAAAATATACGAGAAGAACATAACCCGTATCATGCCAACAACTGGTTTTAGAATAAATGTGTTTATTTCCAATGCAAAGACCCTATGAGTGAATCAATATTAACACCAAAATATGCCTTCTTTATTAACCTGAGAACAGTATCGTAACTATATCCCTTCTGAATAAGTCTGTTTAAAGGTTTGGTTAGCTTTTGAGGTGAATGCCGACATTTTTTTGCTTTGTAAAGATTATTCCCATAAAAGATTGGATGTGAAATACCTCAACGTAAAAGATGTCTGCATGTTGAATTATATTTACGAAATGATGTCCTTGTACCGATGATAAAATGAAGTAAATGTTTTGACTAGCTTGTGATATCGAAAACCCTGGTGTAATAATTTTTTAGTAATACAGAGATTTCTTTCATTAAAATCAAATACGTTGTTACTTACACGAGTGAATGGAACAAGTTGAGATATATAAACACTATAAGATGGTGACAAGGGAAAGTCACCATCTAAAAGATGAATTTTAAGTAAATACTGCAAAACACTTCAAAATCTGTTTACAGGTCCACCTGTGTTTGCCAGGGAGAACGGAAATATAAAGTTTGCCGAACTGTATAAAGCTATCACAGTGACATTTGTTCTATACTCTAATCCAATGGCGGAACAAATATGGATTGAAGGTGTCGCTTCGGGTTACACAAAAAACGAAACAATCCATGATTTTGGTATGTCTGAAATAAATCTGAAGTACACAGATTTTGAAAGCAATGCAAATATCAAGGGCGAAAAGATAGTATTTGAATTCAAAATGTTTAGCACTGAATATGAAATGTACAGAATATGGGCAAGTAATGAACTAGGGGAAGATTCCTTCAGTTTCAACATCAGGGCTACAGGTAAGAACAGTTTATTTTTATCAATAGTACCGCTTAAGTCGACGCTAGGGGCCGTCTTGACCTTGTTGTAGGATATGAATGATTCGTTCATTGTTGAAGACCCTACATCAACTGTCAAGATGAAGAACAGGAATAAAAGCCCTGTTCATAGATAATTTTCTATGTATTGTGTGCAATTTTTACTCCATATCCTTTCATTTTCTATTCAAATACTGTACGACTATATAAGGGCCAATATCAGGATGTTACGATTAGAATTTAGTACATAATAAATGCCCGTAAATGATCATATCATCATGTTGCTGAATGAAATGTGGTAAACGTTACCTGATTGCTCTAAAGGAACACAACTTGCATTACCATGAAAGAAGTACTAAACTTCAATAAATAAGAAAAAAATCTTTACACAGATTCCAAACTGTCAAGGATCACAATGGCCGAAGATTGTTTCGTCTATTCGTGTTATATCACTCTTTGGCATACAGCTTCTCAAATATTTTTCCATCCGTCATGTCTTTGTTGTCTAAAGTTTTGTTTTTACGTATTTTGGAAAATGATTTTGATTATCAATGCTGGCGGACTGCTAATTTCCAAAAGTATCATCAGCTCAGAAAGCAGTACTCATATATACATATTCATAGCATACCTCTCTCTGATTCCACGTTGATAATTTTAAAATCTTTAAGAAACTATGGTTCCATATCCCTTAGGCAAGGTTGTCCTTAGTATGATTTGGCAATTATTTTTTTATCCATTCGGTTAAACAGCGTTTTCACAAACTTATAAATATATTTTCGGCAGGACTCGTGTTGCTCATTCTATGTGGTATTTTGTAATTTCTTCAACTTTTCGTCATGTTTCGTTTTTTTTATTTGCATTGAGTTATCTGATTTATTTTTATTGTGAGTTTTGAATGTCCCCTTAATATTTTCTGCCTCTTTTATTTTTATATGTTCTTGTCTTTAAACATTTTGGGATTGTGCTTTTATAATGAAGATGAGAAATTGAAAATCAATCTTCATGAATCATAATCATCACTAATTAAACGGATATAAGTGAATAACTAAATCCATCGAAAGTTTAACTCTGTCTGAGTGAGTTGGAACATATTTTTTTTAAAATAATTTCTTAAGTACGTTTGTGCTGAATCACCAAAAACTGGGCTGATGATATCCTCGGGGCTAACAGTCCCCGAGATATAAATCGAGAAAAGTGCTTAGGTCAAAAGTTTTATTTCATTCATACACAGTTTCATCAATTTCTGTGTCTTACATTGATTTCACTCTTCCTACGCGGTTTGCAAGATTTTAACATCGATAAACAACTGTCGTCTCAATTCATTTTAACCAGAAAGTTGGCAGTTCCTTAATACTAAGAGGAGATTTATTCAAGTTGAAGAACAGAACCAGTACAGAACGAACAAAATAGTTTCGATACACGTAGCAACATTAATCCAAAAAAAATGCAGAATAATGCAATTTATAAGGTGTTCCTAGAGCTGACCAGTAATTCATATGAATGCACATACTACTTATTCAAAACCAATATGGCACTAAATAGATTGAAATGAGTTAAGCATAACATCTGAGCTATATTGAAGTTGTATCAATATATACGGCTTGTTTCACGTAATCATTTGTAAACAAAAAACATTGTTTATAAGATGAATGAAATGTATCGGCTTTCTGTTTAACCATATGTAAAAATATTCAATTCATATGGCAGTATATAAACGTAATATAAAATTCACCAACATTTTCTGCTAATATTTACTTTATTCACATTGTATTTTATTATTGTAATGCAAAACTCTATGCACATACATGACATAAAGCGATATTTATTTCTTTGTATTTATTATTGTGACGAATCATTGTATAAACCTTATTTCTAATCAGAAAATTTAGATATTCAATGTATTTTGTGGATATTATTATCAACGTTTCAATTTGTCGTTCCTTTATCCTATTGTTATCAATATCATTACAATTATAGTATTATTAGTTTAGTTTTTCATTCTTGAATTAAAACTTAAGCGTCTACCATTGATTACAGGTGCGCCAATATTTGTACCTGAAAACAGAAATGTTAAGCATGGCGAACTTGATGAACCTTTAACACTAACATTTCTCCTGTACAGTGACCCTACAATAAAGGATATATGGATAGAAGGCGTCGATACTGATCATAAGCAAAACAAAATAAAACTTGAATTCAAGTTGGCAAATTCAACTGTGCCGTATACGGCTTTTGGAAACAAAGGGCACATCATGCGCTATAACATTACTATTCAAACAAACATTGTAAGCAGTATTGACTTCCGTGTGTATAAGATATGGGCAACGAATGAACTTGGAGTCACTTCCTATAAGTTCGAAGTCATAGCAGTTGGTAATATAATTTTGACTGATTATGCTAATTATGTGATAAATGATTTCAATTTATTGGCTCTTTCAGTTACACACTTAAAGTTAAATTTCAACTCATTACTCACTACATTATTTCAGTACAATTATAAGATCATTTGGTAACATCTGTATTAATCTGTTGAAGGTTTTATGTAATTTGTTTTATTTGACTTTCTATAGAGTGTATTTTCGTTCTCTCATATTTTTATTGAGCCGTATTGTACCTTCACCCATTGTGCATCTGAACACCACAGATAGACGTGCACAGAAAACATATATTCAGTCAAATCACGTCATAAGAAATTTTATGTCCGCTGAATTGACAAGCATTAGGTGATTAGTTTTGTCCTTTTGTCAGCGACTATTTGTCCGTTAAAAATATAATTACAGAACCGATTTGATCAGTAAATTTCAAGTCTTTCAAAACGTAGACCAAAAGTCGCCAAAATAGCCTAAGTTCTAAACTTCGTGAGTGATAATTTAAATGAGCCATTTTGTTAATAAATATGTTTCATTGCATCAATTTTTTCAATTGAAGAATTCTGCAGATAATATCGATATTGTTGTGTATGTATTTGAATAATAAGTTGTAAAAAATGAAAACAACAGTTATATAAATTGCATGCGTCCGAAGCGCATTTCGGGATTTACCTTCACCAAGAACGCTCAAAGCCAAATATTTGAAAGCCAAGGATTTATAGGAACCGAAATATATGACCAAAAAAAACCTAAAAAAATAATAGCCAAATCCATTTAAGGCCAACTTTGCCTGAAGGAGTTGAAACCTTAATTTTTTTTCAATTTCAAAATTTTTAAACACACAATTTTTGAAGTAAACGGACAATTTTGCAATTCACCATATCATGTTTTCTGTCATTTGAGCTTCTTATAATATCCTTGATGTTTTTTATATTAAAAACATTTGTGTAGGCAGTAAAATGAAAATCATCGTTCTGTTAAATCGTTTGTAAGGTTTTGACATCAATGTGACCAGTTAAGATTTCCACACTTTCCACAAAAACTCTAAAATAATGCCTTCAAAATTAGACAACATTTATCAATAGTGAAATTGAGAATGGATCCAGAAACGGGGAGTGCGTCAAAGAGACAGCAACCCGACCAAAATATTCTCAGCGATTTATCATGTTTACAATCTGTTAATTTCTGATTAATTTTCACTTGAATATAATAAAGAAGATGTGGTATGATTGCAAATGAGACAACTCTTCACAAGAGACCAAATGATACAGAAATTAACAACTATAAGTCATTAAAATCCAAAACGCCACAGCAGACACGGGCATAGCGAACGATTTGTGATATATAAACACAGTAAGATGGTGCCAAAGAAACATCACCATCCAAATACTTGTATAACCTTATGTTCCCTTAAGTCACCAATGTCTTAAAAGCTTTAAAAAAAAAACATTACTTATCTAAGGTCATCATTGCAAAAGAAGTGTAATTAGACAACTTGTTAGAATCGTTTGCAAGTTTTTGTCAAAAAAGTTATGAAGTTCCAATGATGTTCTAACAGAAGATGAGATTTACAGTATGTCTTTAATCTTTTTATACACCTTAAAAAGGAAACTAAAAGAAAAGTATTTGTTTTAAAACGCACAAGTTAACACTTTATTGCAATTAAATATATTAAATTAACATTAAATAACAATTATTCTGCAGAAGAATATCCCAATATATTTTTGGGAAAACATTTTCTGTATATATTTTTGTTTAATTTAGAATCCAATAAAATCAAAGGGAAGCATGGATACCTACTGATAACAAGTAGTAGCATTATCGCCTGTTTATTGGTCTACATAATCGCAATTCACATCTGTTTTAGTATCAGAAAGAGATTTAGAACAAGGCGAGTAAATATAGAAGAGCCGTTGCATTATAACACTTACGATGAAATAGGATCAATTTCTTATGAAGCTGCTGGCTTTCGGCGGTTAGCTACTGATCAACGAGGACCTATTCAGCAAACCCCAACAAACCTTAATCTTCAAGATGCATTTTCCACAACCAATATTAACAACCCACTTGCAATGAATTGTACAACTGAAACAGATGTGTATTCGAGAGTATCAGATCACGAATCTCAAGTTAATGCAGTGCAACAAAATAATGTTTTAGAAGCTACACTCGATGTTTCGCCTACGATATCTATTGAGGATATCGGTCACGGCGACAAAAGCACCCGTAACGAACCAGCCGCTCCAGCAGACGAGTCTTTATATTCATTCCAAACAAGAAAACACCATGACAAACATTTGACGAATAGAAACGCAACGTCAACATGTTCATCAAGTAGTGGTGAATCTAAATTGGAATCAAATGTCACGACATCAGTGGGTTTAAATGTCGGTGACGTATACGAAAACCCGTACCAAATAGTAATACATGACAACCAAGATACTCATCAATATAGTCTTATAATGAATCCATGTGCGGAAGCTGATAGTGACAGGGAAACATCAGAAATTGACGAACAAACAAATAATTCAACAGATTATGTCAATCTTCGACTTTGACTAAACATAACATTATTTGCCACTAGTGAGTCAGTACCTGATAACCCTTCGGTAATTAAAAAGTATTAAATACATTGTAATTGTTATCTTCGTATGAATTCATGTAAGTAGTTCAACGCCTACCACCATTCACAGTTTTTGGTCAAGTTAACTTCATATTTTTTTTTTTATTTTACTTGTTATTTTTGGACAGTTGTTTGTGTGTTTTAATTTCTTATTCTTTTTTATTTCATATTGTTATTTTTGTTTCCTAGCTTTCTTATGCTTGTTTGTTTGTCTCTTTGTTCTCTTTTATTATTATTGTTAAGAGATTAAATGACTGAGGAAGAATATCAGATATGATTTCTGACACACTTTTGTCATAATGGCCAATCAGCTCATGATGGCGACCGTAAAATTTCTTGAGTGATGACCTTAATTTGATTGATTCATAGCCCTGTCTTAGCAACTTTTGAGAAAGCAGTATTCCTCGTTCAACAAAATCAAATAACGAAGAAGAAACTGCTTACTCGTTTTTTATTCGTCTGTTGTTGTCGGTTTCTATTCGACTAAAGAATTTTGGTTGCCTCCTGAGTATCTTTCATCCTTTTTTGTAGAGTTCAAAACGTGTTCAGGGACTGTGTATGTTTCATAGTATTAAATAAATATAAGAAGATGTGGTATGAGTGCCAATGAGACAACTCTCCATCCAAGTCAAAATTTATACAAGTAAACCATTATAGGTCACAGTACGGTCTTCAACACGGAGCCTTGGCTCACACCGAACAATAAGCTAAAAAGGGCCCCAAAAAATTACTAGTGTAAAACCATTTAAACGGGAAAACCAACGGTCTAATCTATATAAAAAACGAGAAACGAGAAACACTTATGAACCACATCAACAAACGACAACTACTGAACATCAGATTCCTGACTTAGGACAGGTGCAAACAAATGCAGCGGGTTTAAACGTTTTAATGGTACCAAACCTTCACCCTTTTTCTGAAATAATAGTGTAACATCACAACATAGAAAGACACACTATAAAATATCAACTGAAATAGCTTAACTCAATCAAAGGACATATTAACACCATTGAACATACACTGAACAAATAAATTTGACCTATGACACAATGTAAATACAAAATAATTAAACTAAGAGAAGAATAATAAAAGTAACATGTTATATCGGTAAGAAATGTTAAACAATTAAAGAAAAAAAAAACAATATGCTCGAACAAAAATACCATCCATTTGCAATAACTTTAAACACAGGTAAATGAAAATAATTTTGTTGTTAGGTATACCTGTACAGTACCAATAGAGAAAGGAAATATTTTTACAAAATAAATAATTTTGAATACAAAATAAATAAACTAAGGGAAGAATAATAAAAGTAACATGTTATATTGGTAAGAAATGTTAAACAATTTAAGAAAAACAATATGCTCGAACAAAAATACCATCCATTTGCAATAACTTTAAACACAGGTAAATGAAAATAATTTTGTTGTTAGGTATACGTGTACAGTATATTTTTGTATGTTGTTTTTTTTTTGTTTTGTTTGTTGTTGTTTTTTGTTTTGTTTTTTTTTTGGGGGGGGGGGGGGGGGGGGCATTATGTTGTCTGTCTTATTTCTACGTATGATTGTTTTTAATGCATTTGTTTATAGCTCGTGGTTTCATCTTACTTTTTTATTGTATATACAACTAACTTATGGTAAGAGCAGTGTATAAATGTTTGTATATATGAATTTACATGAATTGCACAGACAACACTCAATTACATTTTTATAAAACTAATTATCATACAGCAGCTCGTTATGTCACGTATTTATAGTTACACCATTGCCACAATTGCTCGTATGTTTCATCGAGAGCGGGACACGCATTTACAAGTGATATTGCTTTTCTCTCTCTTTTGAATAACTCGAAAAACTCAGATCTACCCATAATCTTTTTTCCCACTTCGAGATAAAATTGAGAATGGAAATGGGGAATGTGTCAAAGAGACAACAACCCGACCACAGAACAGACAACAGCAGAAGGCCACCAACAGGTCTTCAATGCAGCGAGAAATTCCCGCACCCGCACCCGCAAGCCTGAATTTTTTATACAATAAAAACGTGTCGCATATCCTGGATTTCAATTCGTGCCCTCCGGGAGAAGGGGCCACAATCAGATAGTAGCTGGATTTATTGAGATCGGTTAATCCCGAGGTAACTCCGAATGATTGATTGAGTAATTATCTGTTACCTAGTGGGTAGTGGAAAATGTCAGACATCGACGTTTTTCGCCTTACAACGTAATGACGTTACGCTAATTTCAACGTTTTGTAGTATTATTTCACCCAGAACACCACTTTGAATTATGTATATACCTTAAAAACAAATTCGGTGGCCCTATAATTATTTTCATCAGAAATTTATGTATCAACAATTTATCTTTTTTTTTAATATATGAATTGGTTATAGGAGGTTTGATGATTTTCAGACAAATTTTAGAAGGTGTTTCGCAGATTTCATGTGTTTTCTAAACAAATGTGCATCAATTCAGTAATATTTCAGAAAATAAAAGAGATAAATACATTATTTTTTTTCGATTTTCAAATATAGTTTAACGAGCCAAAGTTGTTTGTCAAATTTTACCAAAGTTTGTGACATAGCCATTTACTGTACCGACCTTAAATTCGACATTTAGGCGTTGATGGAGCGATTGCAGGGATTGGCAGGTACCGACTGAATTATTTGGATAAATATCATTGAAATCTTCTCCCCTTTTTTGCTTGTCTTCTGGGGTCCGTTATGACTAACTACGGAATAAATTTCGGTAATTAGTGCAAGCCGTACGATGGCATGCAGTTTTGTTTACATCATTGGTGATAGCTGTCTCATTGGCAATCATTCCACATCTCCTTTTTTCTTCTTTTTTTGCATCGAGGTTCATACATGGTTCATTTCAATTAAAGTTAACTTACTATATTATATTGTGTAAACTACATGCACATCTTGTATTTTGTATGCAAGTAGTTTCCTGCAGATTTAGTGTCATGTATTTCTCACAATTGTTTTCTTCTGAATAAAAATATCTTCAAATTAGTTATGTTTTCTTTTTATTTTAGAAAGAATTGAGATTGTTTTTGAAAGTACCTGATCTCAAATTGGTGCAAATAAACAAAATATTGCAATGTTGATGTTTTTCTAGATAATCTTCTCCAATTACGTCCAGACCCATGAAGGGTCAAAGATGAATAACAAACAATGGACTACATTCCATTTGGTGAAAACAGATTAATCAATAATATAAAAAGAAAGGATATGTTGTAACATTTGGATTCAAATCACTACACGCCCATAAAAACAACATTGATACATGTAGCAAAGCAGCGATGCTTTTATTGATGTTCTTCATCTCACCAATATTACACGATAGTGTAACAAATAATATGTTTAAAAAGTACAAATCGAAGTGGTTTCAAAACTACCTTTAATAAGTTTGATTACCGAAGAAAGAAAAATGTTGATTTTATTGCCTTTATCAGTAGGACAGTTACTTTTCTATTGATCCCGCTTCACTTTTCGTACAATGTTACATCGCTGTCACCAGTTAGGTTAGGATTGAGCGCTCACAAACATGTTTAATGACATCAGAATCTTTATGTGCATGTCCAAAGTCAGGAGCCTATAATTCAGTAGTTGGTGTTGGTTGCTGTCTGTCATATTTGTTTTTATTTTGTTTATTGTTTTATCATATATTAGGCAGCTGGTTTTCTCGTTTGACTTTTAAAGCTTACTATACAGAATGGGTTTTGTTCTTTATTGAGGGCGTACGGTGACATATGGTTGCTTACATCTACGTCATTTGGTCATATCTGGGTCATTGGCAATCATACCATATTTCATTATTTGTGTTAAGACTATCTAGAGATCAACATACAATAGCGTTTTTAGCAAAAGACAATTTGTTTAATGTTAAACATGTTAAAGCACCTCAGGTCTATAGCAGTTAAACATGTAATGTAGACTATCAACGGCCTGACTATAAACACAATTCCGTAAAGTAAAAAAAGAAGTCAAATTTATTCAATTTGGGATAAGTTAATGCACGCAGGGCAGGGTAGAACTTTGAACCTTGATCAGTGGAACAAAAATATAAGAAGTGAAGAGCGTACAAACAGAACTTCGTAACAGTCACTTAAATCAATACTATTGTAAAAGATATTTCGGAAAAAAAGGCACTTAGTTCTGTACTGTTGGTAAAATAAATATCAAAAACAGGGACAAGTTAAAAGACACTAGAAAACTTGAAAAAAAAACTACTGAAAGCTCAAAACTCATAACCTGCTGAATCATGTTATCCAACGCTATAACTAGGCAGTTGTATTTCCGAAAATATTTAATAGAGAAACATCATGAACAGTGCAAATCAAACGATATTGTTTGATTCATACTAAAATAAACATTAGTAACTTTTGAAAATTTACCAGTATCAACTATTGAAAAGGTGTGTTCAATGACTTAACTTGAATTCGATAAATTTCTTTTTTCGCTGCAACTTTACTGCATTACGTTTGCGCGCATTACCATTACATTTGCTCGCAAAAATCATTACGTTTGCGCGCAGCTTTTGATTACATTTGCGCGCATTTTTCTGACAGGTAAGCTCAGGTAAACACAGGTAAGAATACGTATTTATTTATTTATTCAATTACAAGTACAAGTACCCCTTTCGTTAGTCTAAGTCCCCTGATCACCAATGAGGAGTTGAAAGTAGAATTTTGATCAGAATAATGGTCAAACTCTTCAGGGGTTTCTGAATAAACGTTTCTTCTTCTATATTCATTGATTCACACCGGACTTATTTCATAGATCTAGCAGTTATGTCTTCTATCGGTTCACAGTTATCATTTACAATGGCTTTTGAATAATCGTCAGTTTTTATTCTGCCTTTTCAATCCTTAACAGTGCATCGCCAAGAAATTTCCCCTAACTTCAGTGTTCTATCAATACGGGAAGTAAATCCGTCATATACTAATGATTTTCCCCCGATTTGTTTCAGACAAACGAAACTCTATATTTGTGCCTCGACACAGCTATACAAACTTACTTAAATTATTTACTAATTTAAAAGCGATCACTTTTCGTTGAAACACTATTCACTGTGAAATATTCGCAATGAAGTTACATGTATGCCTTAAGATATAACGGGATTTATCATGATCACTTTATATTTTGTTATATAATTCAATATGATAAAATATATATTATTTAAATGAACACATATTTTTTGGAATTGAAAATTGATAGTCATATTTATTATAAAAATTAACAAGTATAGTCATTTATATTTTTATATTTTTTTATTATATTACCTTTAATTTTACCTCCGTTTACCTCTGAAATAAATGCGCGCAAATGTTATCAAAAGGCGCGCAAACGTAATTTTTTTAAATACCCAAATGCGCGCAAACGTAATGCGCCCGAATGCATATGAAGTTATATAAAAACTCTCATCAGCTAAACAAAACAAATGTCCTTACAGACAAAGTAGCACAAAGACAAATAGAAGCAAAATCATGTTTCGACAACGTTTACAGAGTTATACAATGAGTATTCGTCCCCTTTTTGTCATATTTTCCCCATAAAGCTACGTATTTTCCAAAAAAAATATTATGAGATCAATTCTGACTGGAATTCTTATCAACTTGGTTATCAATAGAAACGTAATTGTCATAGTTTTTTCCTCTTCTTATGATATAAACACAAATATTACTTTTGTCAGAAAATTTGCTATATATTTCTACCAAATTAAATTGGAAAAAATAGTTATACATGATAAAATCAGGATGAAATAAAACAAGAGACAAACGAAGATTAAGATCAAATAGACAAATACATTCAAGCAGTTCTTTTCTTTCAACTCATAGTTTATTAAAATCCAACCATACATGCGTTCAAAATAATATGTTTTAATGTGTTATCAATTGAAAGATTTTACGAATACTTATTGTAAAAGACTGAACCTAAACTTGTGGGTTAAACAAAAATAATGACAACTTGACTGCAATGATTTTTGATCAAACATTAAAAAAAGTATTATTAAAAATTAAAGTTGCAAATCTAATTCTAATATTGGTGTCTAGCGTTTAAAAATAAGCAATAAATCAATCAAAACAAAATCAATCGGAAACAAAGACCGGAAAAATTAAACATTTGACGAACGTGCATAATTAAAAGTCTAAACAAATTACACACGTTTGGGAAATTATGGATTAACTACTGTATTTGTAACGAAGTGTCAAGCGGCAAATATTTTATTCAGTAAGGTAACATGTTGATAAGATGCACAAGGTCTGAGTCAACTTGCACAGATAACAATAGTATTGAAAAATTATATATGTATCTTTTTACGCTCCGATATGTATAGCAAATTAAATATCCGGAAATCTGAGGTACACAAAAATATAGAATACATGTAGGTTCAGCAACTTTGACTTTAAAAAAGATGTAGAAGATATCAA